GATGCGACGACAAACTCACGATAGTGCGATGTAAGAAAGGCCCTTACTATGGCCTTCTTCTCCTCAAGTTTGGTGTCGGTGATGTCCGGAAGGAGTGGCATACCCTCCCCGTCCATTTCGAGTTCGAAGGCTGGTTTTTGAATTCGTTTTCGACCTCCCTTGACCTGACGTCCTCCATCCCGTGCCCCGGCGCCTATCATTGTGATGCTCAATATGTTCAATCTGGTATACATGGTTCACACACTCACCGAACTGTTCCTGCGCGTACTCCTGCCACACTGGCTCAATGTCCTCCCAGTCCTTCATCTTCATGAAGCTGTCCCCATCTCCTAAGGCCTCGTTATCATCATGCCTGCATGAATATTTTGAGATGAAAAATCTCCATCAATGGATAAATGTACTCACATCCCGAACAGCACCTTGCCCTTTTCATTCTTCCAAGCCGACATCACAAACACTCTCATCCCACATTGCCTCCACATCTCGTTCGAAAAGTGCTCCATATATGCCGGACCACTCTTCGGCTGTTTCTTTAGCCTTCTCCAACTCGTTGTCGTCCAATTCAGCCATGACTCTCTTCACCGCCGCCTGATAATGTTTGAACATACCAGGATCTCCTGGCTTTACCCCAGACTTGTCCTCAATCCTCTTCAGCACCTCTTCGCATTTCTGCTGGTAGACCACCATCCTGGGTGTCCATTTCCTCCCATACTTGATCATGTCCTTCCTTTCCTTCTTTTTCTTGTTGTTGAACAACCAAGTCTTGTACACCTAAGAGTTGATGAAAGAATGTGACGGTAAAAATTTAGTTTTTCAACACAATAAAGAAGCCTCACCTGCTTCCTCTTTTTCCATTGTTTTTGGTCCAACTTCGGAGCAAACAACCTGGACGCCCTTGCTATGGCAGTGAAAATCGCTCGCTTCTCACTCCTTTTGGCAGCAGTCCACTCAGGAAGGTAGTTCTTCAACTCCAAAATCTCCTTGTCCGTGAGCTTCTGAGACTGTGGTTGACGCATCCTGTGTCTTCCAGAAGTCGTGTTGGTGGAATGACCTGTTCTTGCCATAGTGAATCAGAATGCAGAAATGGCTAAGGATTTGCAAGGTGAAAGTATTAATGAATTGTGTGAAGTTGAACTTTGAGCAAAGCCTAATGATAGGTTAATCAGCCCATATTGGACCCTGAGCCATTAATGGAAATGAATTTGTAATAAGCCAACAGGACTGCACCGCATCATATTGCAATAACAATTCATTACACCTGAGCTGATGCCTTGCTTGCAACATTAATAAACAAGATGAAGATAGGTAGATGCACCCCAGTGCAAAAATCTCACAGGGTGGAAGCAAGGGGCAGCAAAGGTAGGAAGACTTGGGTCAAGGTCCCACTTGCAAGCACAAGGCGACATGCCTACAGGTCCATGCCTAACTCTCCCCCGGAATCACCAACAATTCAGCCTGTTGAGGCACCACCTCCTTGGGAAGACTTTCCTGACAATACTTATGAGCAGGATCAAGGCTCATTTGAGCCTTTGCAACTCCCAAAAACCATGGCAAGTTCATGTACAATGTTGGAGTGTCATTCAAACTATGGCTAAGCATTCAAAATACAGAGTCAAAATGACTACCTCAGGCAATGGCTGCCAAGGCAGGAATCATATCTACATCACCTCCTCAATCGAGAAGCTCCACCCGAAGACAGGAGATGCATCATCTGCCAACAGGATGGGGTGTACAAATGTCAAGATTGTCTTGGCGAGCCACTTTATTGCACGGGCTGTTGCAGGAGTCAACATCGTAGCAATCCTTTCCACTGGATCAGTCAATGGAATGGGCGATTCTTCGAGCAGAGTTGTCTAGCTCATGTGGGACTCATTATATACCTTGGCCATGATGGCAAACAATGTCCGGCAGTCACTGATTGGTGGAATTTGTTTGAAGAAGATGAACCTGAAGACCTGCTTGAGCCTGAAGATCTGCCATTTGTGTCCGGACCCGAGTTCCAGCCAAAGGAAAACACCATGGTCATTGTCGACAAGTCCGGAGTTCATCGCCTGGAGATTCGATGCTGTGAATGTCCGAATGCCATGAGTCCGGACATTCAAATGTTTCGACATGGATTTTTCCCTGCATCTTTTAACAGGCCAAAGACTGTGTTCACCTTCAGAGTGCTCAATGATTTTCTACTGGACAGCCTTGAATGCGGCACCTTGGCGATGAACTATTACAGCAAGCTCCGGCGAATGACCTCCAGCATGTTTCCACACCTTGTTCCGGTAATGCCTTACCCTCATCATCTACTGGACATCATATTGACAAAGCACATTGCAAGGACCAATACAGAGAGCTCATGAGGGTCGCTCGACAGTGGAGGCAGTTGAAGACAATGAAATGGCATGGCTTTGGCCATCGTTCTGATAACCCGAGCACAGGAGAACTTGCATTATTTTGCCCAGCATGTCCTCAGCCTGGGATTAATGTGCTGTTGTCAGAGGATGAATCTCTTGATGAGTGAGTCCTATTCTCAACCTATGTGGCCTCCATAATAATACTAGGGATCCAAGCTGGAAATACACCCGGTCATTTGTGATGGACAGAAATTTCAAAGCCGAACATCTGCATCCCATTAAGCCATTCAATGAAGTTTGGCTGTCCGATGGGCTTGGATTCATGGTAGGAAAGGACAGGTATAAAATGCATCTGGCAGAGGCTGCTGACACAGTGGAAAAATCAAGCTGCAACAATCACCGGGCAGTAAATCAAGCTAATGCTGCTCGGCACAAGCTGGAGTCCACCAGTATCGGGGGAGTTGCCTGTGCCAGACACGGTTGCTTTGTCCCTCACTCCATGGTGGATTTTCAGAAAGGCGAAAGGCAAGCCACATCCACCATTCCCCATTCACGAGTTAACCATGGGTCACTTGCAGGCAAATGAACATGGACTACGCCCTTTGCGAGGCTTCCCGGCACAACATGGAAGGCATCACCAGGGCTGTGACCTTCTATGATATTAATTGTCAATACAACAAACACTTTCGGGTTCGGGTGGATCGAAGTCGATTTCTAGAAATGGCACCACAACTAACCATCATTCCCGGAATTGGGTTATGGCACGTTCATGGCCATCAGGACAGCTGCTATGTCTGATATGCTTCTAACTTTATTGAAGGCATTGGTCGGATCGATGGAGAGATCATGGAGACGCTATGGGCATGGCTCAATTTGATCTCCCCTGCTGCTCGGGGAATGTCATCTCCCCACCGAAAGGAATGCCTTGATTATCAGATGAATGACTCCAATTTCTGCAAGATGATTCGCATGAAAAGGACTCTATGCCGGAAATACAAACTGGCTAGGAATGGTATCTTAGAAAGTGGAAAGGCATTCGACAGACTCGATGAAGCAGCACCCTCACATTTGAAGACAGAATGGTTAGCCAGGGAGAGGATAGCTCAGTCAAGCAGATTGAATGATCCTTCAGCCATGGATGAATATGAGATCAATATCAAAAAGGGTACATTGAGTTCCATTGTCTCCGTCGAGGTCTGAATTAATATTGCACTCAGCACCTAGCAAAAAGGAGATTGAGCTTAGATTGTTAGAGGAGGGTAACGCCCGCAATGCAGCACCCTCTCGGAGATCTGTGGCGACATGGATATCAACAGGGTTAGCAATTGAAGAGGCTCAGATTGCATTGCTCATCGAGGTCCGAAGGATCGGAAGAAGATCTACCAAGACACAGAGATTAGACATTGCCCATCAAAGAGATCGGCTCCAAGGCCAGATAGATGGATTTGCTTGGTCTGCTCTAACACATCTCAGGGAGGGATTTGATGCAGATGATGAACCTGAAGACTTGGACGTAGACATTCTAGATGATCTCGATGATGACCCGGCGGATTTCACAGAGACATCTCATACATGGACAAACTCTCCCGAGCTAACTGTAATCCCATTGCCATCAAACCTGGGGGTTGATAGATGCAGACGATGCATGGCAGAGGATCTGATTCCCCTGGAGATGTCACTTCGTGAAGGGCAGGCCAATGATGCCCTTCACAATCTCCACATTTACCTTTGCAACAAGGCCATCCTGTTCTGAACAACTGTTAGGCAGGCCAATTCCCAGGCCCTGAAAACTCGAGCTTGGTCCCAGGTGACATTGGTGCAGCAGGCAGTCTCCCTCCATGCCAGCATATATACAAAGACAAGGAAGCAAATGATGAAACTTGAGCCGGGGCAAGACCAGCTTCAGAAATACAAACCCCTGCTTCGTGAGCAACTCAAAATCAGCACTGCAGTGGGTGACCCAAATGCCCGAGGTCAACGAAATGAATCTTTGGCTTGGTTTTGGTCTGTTGAAGTCGACCTCGGGGGTCCTGATCAATCATGGAATGAGGAATGTGAGTTCCCACTTGCATGTCATATCTCACGGTTACCTGACTGGACCCATGCCAAGTTTACCGAGTCCATTGGCTGAGGGCAAAGGCACTACAGGATCGATGGAGGGAGGAAATGCTATTGGTAAAATTGGAGATGGATTGGACATGTAAGTTCTTTTTGTGGAAAACAACCCAATGGGATGAGCACATGCAGGAATCATTGGAGAAACGACTTCTGGGTCACGGATGCTACACCGGAAGGCAATCCCACATGTATTCATTGCTGGCACAGGATGCACAGGCAGCTTTTCAAGACCTACAAAATGTGTTGATAGAGGCTGGAGATGAATGAACATTGTTTTCTCATGAAGTCCCTTTTTCCACATACATAATTGACGCCCAGGAATTGTCCGGGTCAGCCCATGTCGGAGTTTGAATTTCGTATCCATCCATCAGTGATTCTTATCTTCACATCTTGACCATCTTTCACTTGTATTGCCAGCGCCATAGTCCTGTATTAGCCATGTCTGCATCTCATGCATCCACTTCTGGCACTGTGAATGCCGGCAGCCATTACTGACCTCTGAAGCTGAGCCTTGCAACTATTTCCTGCACATTGGCAATGGCTGGATCGCGTGTCCGTGCAATCATCTCTCAATATTGGACGGAAGCTGCCAACAATGGTCTATCTGCTGACCGGATCAAGTATTTTAAAGCCGGGCTGCAATGGGAGATGAATGTATGTTACCACTGCCCTGATGACTTTGTTGGTCAATGCTAAGAATTTGAGCAGACATTTGTCACACCACTCCTGCAGTACTCCGCTTCACAGAATATCGTGTCGGTGGTTCCGGTCCCTGTCGCTTATATCCTTAAGTTGTATCCCATGCTCACCTGGAACACGGTTCCGGACGACGTCTTTTCATTCCACCTCCTTTCATTTCATGATGAGCCAATTGCAGGACATCCGTCCCGGATTGTGTTCGTATATACATGTCCATGGTGGAGGGGAAACAACTGGATCCCTGATCAACCATGGCAGTGGGATGAAATAATGTCTTCCTGCGTCTCTCACTACCAGTATTGGGCGGTAAGATGTTAGCTGAATTACCTTGATTGATGACTTATCTGTTTCAGCTTAATGTTGAGGATGATGCTTTGGTACTTCCAGAGAAGTTGAAAAACACTTCGACTCCACCACTCATGGGACTGAGATTCATCAAAGAACACATGGAAGCATTGCTGGAGGAGCAAGATCAGGGCATCAAAGCTAAGATGGGAGAGGTGAAGATGTACACTGACATGTTAGAGAAATTGAGGAAAGGCAAAGGAGTGTAGTCCCATTCAGTCTTCATTGTATACAAGATGTAACATATTCTATGCATTCAAAAATCTCACATCCAAGTCCCGGACGCCCAGGTCCCGAGTCCCGAATTTCGGAGGTTGGGGTTTGGAGACCCGGAGCTCGGCAACTGTGTTGGGTGTCAGGGTATCCAGACCCTTGGAGATAGCATGTGTCAGTATTTTGCGTTTCATGGTTTATGTTGGGTGAATATGGAATCTGGGATCAGGGACTCGGTATTCAGAACAGTGTCAAGTCCCAGGTCACAAGCTCCGAGTCCCAAGTGCCGAACCCCGAGTCCCGAGTCCCGAATTTCGGAAGTTGGGGTTCGGCGACCCGGAGCTCAGCAACTGTGTTGGGTGTCAGGGTACTCAGAGCATTGGAGATAGCATTTGTCAGTATTTTAAGTTTCATGGTTTATGTTTCGTGATTATGGAATCAGGTGTCAGGGACTCGGTATTCAGAACAGTGTCAAGTCCCAGGTCACGAGCTCCGAGTCCCGAGTGCCGAACCCCGGGTCCCAAGTCCCGAATTTCAGAGGTTGGGGTTCGGCGATTTGGAGCTCGGCAACTGCTGGGTGTGGGTTTCGGGACTCGGGACTCGGAGCTCATGACCTGGGACTTGACACTGTTCTGAATACCGAGTCCCTGACACCTGATTCCATAATCACGAAACATAAACCATGAAACTTAAAATACTGACAAATGCTATCTCCAATGCTCCGAGTACCCTGACACCCAACACAGTTGCCGAGCTCCGGGTCGCCGAACCCCGACCTCCGAAATTCGGGACTCGTGACTCGGGGTTCGGCACTCAGGACTCGGAGCTCGTGACCTGGGACTTGACACTGTTCTCAATACTGAGTCCCTGATCCCAGATTCCATATTCACCCAACATAAACCATGAAACGCAAAATACTGACACATGCTATCTCCAATGGTCTGGATACCCTGACACCCAACACAGTTGCCGAGCTCCGGGTCTCCGAACCCCGACCTCCGAAATTCAGGACTCGGGACCTGGGCGTCCGGAACTCGGTATTCAGAACAGTGTCGAGTCCGGAGTCCACAATGTCGGGGTTCAGGGTTTTGTTAAATGTGTATGGCAATAACAAATGTTAATTCGAGCGTATTTATACATCTTCCCCCAGTCTCAAATATCACGTGCTGAGGTCCGGGTGTCGGGACTAAGTACCCCGGCACTCGGGACTCCCATATGTCAAGTCCCAAGTTCCAATTATTGAATACCGAGGCTTGCATCTAAATTATTTAGTCCCACATATCACTTGGGAAATGCTCAAAATTGAGTATTGAGGTCCGGATCACAATTGGTACATGGTATTCATTTGTTGGAATGTATATAGGTCACAATGCTTGCTCTTTGTTTGATCTTTCACACGCTGTATGGACCATCCACACTAGCCCATCCACATGATGGAACACCAACATAAATATGAACAGCATCCCTCATATACCATGCCCAAGCAATCCGATCCCCTTCCACATCATACACTCCATGTCTCACAATCCTTCCGGAAAATGCAATCATACAGCCGGAATTGTACTTGAACTCCAGCTGAAGGTTTGGCATTGTCATCCGAGCATTAGAATAGTCCCCCACGGTGGTGAGAATGTCGAAGCATTCAGCAATGGACATGTGGTCTCGATGATGGGGGGTTTCCCAATTGGAAATGATGGAGAGGGTGTTAAACACGGATGCCCAGTACTGCAGGGCCTCCGGCATCTGTGGCAGATCCTTGCTTACTGCTATATTTCCAAGGTTTGACAAGGTTCTCAACCCTGCCTAGTACTGCTCAGGATGCATGACTCTGAGTGCCACGGATGCGATGGCTGCTGGCCTTGCAATGGCTTTGAGGATATTCTCGCAGGAAGGTCCCTTCAATGATGCAGATACCTCCAGATCGGACACATTCTTTGGGATTGGTAAGTATGACTGCCGGAATCACCATCCCATCAGATCCTACCTCGTGTCCCTGTTGAAACCATGCCGGAGATAGATTGATGCATCTGGGAGTTGCTCCAACATCTTCTGAGCCCCGGTTGAACAACCTTTGATTAGTTCGCCAATTGCCATCAGCCCTTACACTTTTTTCGAGGCTTGGAGAGAGCAAATTGGTGGCCTCCCTGATTTCCTTCTGTAGATTCCATTAATATTTGATATCCATCGAGTAACAATGTATATTACACACCTGGGTGGTGTCTGTCAGGGCGTCTGGGAGATACCATGCAATGATGGCACCAGATGCATCAAGAATTATTGCAGGTTCATCGACCAACCTTTTGCCTTCATGGCCAGGAGGACACCTCTCAAGCAACCTCGCCTCTCTATGTTCATTATGCCCAGTGTCCTTCGGGGAGATCAATTTGCTATATCTTGCAATATCCATCTGCATCTGAACTGTCATGCAGGAATTTGAATGGTAAATAGAATTTTCCGAATCTGCAGGAAGACCCACTGGGATTTTTAGATGCCTTTATGAGTACATCAGCCAAGCGATTGCACGCCATCACCAGATCAGTGTCTAGGTTGGGGGAAGGTATGACTGGGCCTCCTCCAGTCTTCTCTGCCTTGAATTTCTGTTCAGTATATTCCCCTGCTTCATAAGTCACAGTCAGGGCCCAAGTGCGCCAGATGTTTATGCTATCAGGAGGGGAAGGGGAAGAACCGTTCATGCTGGATGTCCAGACTTTGGTGTTATAGGGGGTGGAGATAGAGAGGATCAGATAAGGGAGCCATGGATAATTTTGGCTGTCAAAGATGTATTATTATCCATTGCTCAATGAAATACTACCTGATTGGAAGTGTGCTGGTCATCAGATATTCATTTGTCGACTCCCGGGTCCCGGAACTCGGAAGTCAGTACGGTTGACCCATATTTGGGTGGTCGGAATTTGGCGTCTCGTAGGGCAACACAAGCTTCGTACTGCCATATCAGGAGATCACCTGCTGCTCCGGGAACTCGGTAACTGTGATTTATTACCTCCTCTGAGTAAGGTTGACTCGCTGGTCATCAGATATTCATTTGTCGACTCCCGGGTCCCGGAACTCGGAAGTCGGTACGGTTGACCCATATTTGGGTGGTCGGAATTTGGAGTCTCATAGGGCAACACAAGCTTCACACAGCCATGTCAGGAGATCACCTGCTGCTCCGGGAACTCGGTAACTTTGATTTATTACCTCCTCTGAGTACGGTTGACTCACATTTTGGTGGTCGGAACTTGGCTTCTCATAGGGCAACACAAGCTTCGCAACCCTGGATTCCACATTCTGCAAGACAACCTAAGCACCATCAGAGGCCATGTCAAGAGAGCACCTGCTGCTCTCTTCAGAAACATCTCAACTTCGGTTGGCCATTTAACACGGAAAGTATTAACTAAATTATGTGTTGAGTTCCGGGTCCCGGAACTCGGAACTCGGTACAGTTGACTCCAATTCTGGTGGTCAGAGCTTGGCTTCTCGTAGGGCAACACAAGCTTCGCACCCCAGATTCCACATTCTGCAAGACAACCTGTGCACCATCAAAAAGTATTAACCAACTTATGTGGTGAGTTCCGGGTCCCGGAACTCGGAACTCAGTACAGTTGACTCAAATTCTGGTGGCCGGAACTTGGCGTCTCATAGGGCAACACAAGCTTCGCACTGCCATATCAGGAGATCACCTGATGCTCCGGGAACTTGGTAACTTTGATTTATTACCTCCTCTGATTTGGTTGATGTACAACTACCTCAGCTCCATCATGTCTACAATTATGATACACATGGGCCCACCCATCTATATTGTATACCACCCTCGGCCCACCGGTCTAATTAATATGCGTCTGGGCCTACCCATATAATACAATATTTTATAATACCCTCGGCCCACCCGCCTAATTTAATATGTGTCTGGGCCCACCCGTGAATGTGATAACAAGTACCTACCCATCTATCTCATACACATCTACCTTAATACACCCATCTGCATAATATCCAACTACCTCAGCCCACCCGTCTACCTAATATTCATTTACATAGGCCCACTCATCTACTCTATATATTCCCTGCATGGGCCCACCCGCCTCCATCGGGAATAATTTGCCTCCCGGCCCATCTGTCATAGTCGGGAATATTTTTATCATGGGCCCATGGTCCGCTGGCCCGTATCATACAGGATATTATGCATGTCCGTTCCCTCGTATTATACGGAGATAGGTCACTGTAGTATGTGATAAGGGTTCATGATGCATGTAATAGAAACATAAATAACATAGCACCAAAGATATGGTTAGTCTAGTACAAATCAAGTAAAATACTCACCAATGGACAGGACGGAGGAAGGACGCGCAATGGAACCAAAAGAAAGCTGACATGAACCGATATGCGCATGTGAGCCATGGCCGTTAGCCAACGATGTATAGGAGGCATGCTGAGCTAACAATAGTGTGCACTGTGTGAGGAGCTAAAGAGCACTGCAAAATAGCCTCTACAAGGCTACAAGGACTCCAAGTCCTACATCACATACAAACTTTGAATTCTGACTATCCCCAGTCAGCTTCTATAGGGCGAAGGACTTGGCAAAATTTCGATGAGATAAGTCACATGACCATGTGGGTTTTGTGCTGTGTGTGGAGCACAATAGTGGACCGCTGGTATGTGAGGCATCAACCGTGGGAACTGTGGCCATTCTTGGTGTATTAAAACACATCATGTGTCGTGCTTCTCTTCTTCTTTTCAATTCATCATTGTATCTTCGCGATAATCTCTGCTTCATCTAACCACCATGTCCTCTGTTATCTTCAACCCTGCCATGCTTACTGTGTTGCCCTCCCCCTCTCCTCAACTTTTTACCACACACTTTACCTTGAATCTACCATCACCAGTACCGAGTTTCTAGTTATGTTTTGAACAATTCATTGCAAGCCCTAGTAGCAGTTAGCTATTAGTGGAAGTCTCGCTATCACTCACATACTGCTTTTGCCCACTTCCACTTGCAAGCGCCAACATTCCCATGCTTTGTGCACCTATAGTGCCTCATTCTCATGCCTTGCACATTCCCCAGAGTTGTCACCAGTGGATACCAGCTCTCTTTGCTTTCCCTAAGGATATCAGCTGCACCCTCAGCTGAGTTGAAGATCCTTCAATGGTTAGAGTTTTAAGTTTCAATAACCTGCAGCTTCAGCGGGAAGACACCAACAAGTGTTCATGCACCTTGCTTCATGTTCGTTTTCTCAGTCACCTCATTCTCGCATTACTTCTGATGCATCGCACGGCATGTGCGCAGAAGGTAGTTCTTGTCAGCTCTTAAGGAGCAATATTGCTTCTTCGTCTTTATCGTCACATCACTGTTTCTTGTCGTTATAGGGTTAATGCCCTTACCCACTCACCTTCCAAATTTTGTTCCAGGTGTCCACTTCATGCAAGCACGCACAGACAAGCTCAATTTAGATCCCGTGAAATGCCAGAAGAGCTCAAGCTAGTACACTGGCTTGTTCACACTCACAAACTCACATTCACATGGGAAGCATCAGAGCATGGTTGCCTTGACAAAAGGTACTTCCTGCCTTACAAGATACCAACAGTCCCCCATGCGCCATGGTCGCAGTGCAATATTAC